CAGTTGTTTGTTCCAGGAAAGGTAAAATCTATCAGTATCAGTGATCAAAAGAGAGGTGGCAATGCATTTTTTTTTAAAGCTGTCTGGGATGCTAATGAGCAGAATGATGTAGAGGAAAGCAGTGTAATTTGGAATAACATTCTCTCCATTCAAGAAATTACGTCTCTTTGCCCCCACCTTACCTACCTTTTTTTTTTTTTTTTTTTTTTTTTTTTGTTCTCCTCCAGTTAACAAAGCGCAGATATGAAATAACTCTGGCAGATATTAGTTGTTGATACTTCTGCAACTTTCTAGGTGGCAAATGCTTCATTATCAGCTCAGTAGCACTGAGGGTCAGCAGGTTGCCAGTTGCTTCCATATAGTAAAAAGAGCTGCTGTGTTAGACTCAAATCTCATGTGAATGCATCTCTACTCAACGGCATCCAGTATTTTTTTAAAAAAACTAGAATAATTGTGTTCTCCACCCACTACAGCTGGAGATTGCACTTCACCCATTTACTATGGCAGAAGAACAAGTTAAGCTCTATGTGATCAACATATTTTTACAAGTACTGACTGCTGTATGTTACCTTCTTTGAAAATGGTTTTGTTATTACATTCATTACTACTAATCTTTTAACTTGTTAATTATATCAAATAGTCTTAGGCCTTAAGTATCCTCATTAGAGGGTTTATATGGATGTAGATATCTGACCTGCTGCCCCAACAGATATTGTTCTTATGCTTTTATCCATGCTAGCATTGTACAGTACATAATCTCTCACTCTTATTCAATAAATTCTCTCTTGAAAGTTACAGGAAAGTACAACATGCACAATTTTCCCATTAGAGAATTCCCGTCAGTTATTTAGCAAGCAGACAGTTCATCTAGTCACTATTTCCACTGGGACTTGTAATGAACTGTAACTGTTTCTGGATGTGCCCCATATCAGAATACCTGAAAAGTATTCCTTAAGCAACAAAAAAATGCCAAGAACTCCCTGCATGATTCGAGCCTCCATACTCAGAGCAACATTTACAACTGGCAACAAATAGTACCTTTTACTCACAGTTATAACTTCGGCTGCATCAACAAAAAGCATCATTACCTTTGAATAATTTCTGCTGCAAAGTGCACAAAATAAGGAAATAATATTGCTGACATACCAAACATGATACTCAGTCTCCTTTTAGCACAGACATCTGGAGTTGTGCCTTTGAACCTGCTACAGAAAACGATAAAATCACTTTAAAAAAAGCCATTTTCTTTCTTTGCTAGAAGATTCAGGTAATACTGAGAATGTGCAAATTGGTTGTTTGATTTTTTTATAATGCAAAACACACTAGAGGGAAAAAAATCATTAAAAATTTGCTGATGGCAAAGACAAAGTCTCTTGGCAGAGTAAGAAGGATGCTGCAGAAGTTACCTGTTCTGTTTGAGACCTATGCATCTTCCACAGAGGCTTTTAAGGAGATAGCGAAAAGCAAAAAGGAAAGATACACAACAGTTTCTAATCTGGTGGGTTTTACACTTTGATTTGATTTTAGCTGGGCTATTCCATTTGCCTACAAGAATCTATCACAGCACATTCCTTAAGTACTTTATCTGCAGTCCCACCTCTTCTCTCTAAAACAAACATTGAAATCGCCCCGAATCATCCATATAATGTCTTTAGGACTAGGCTTCTACAGTTACAGAGAAGACAAAGGAATACTAATCATTCTCCACTGTGTGGAAAAGCTGATGATTTAATTCCATCTGATAGAAAAACATAGCAAGTGGTTGTGGTGGTTTTCAGGCTAGGGTTCTGGCACTCAGTGCCTTACTTGCACCTCTCTCTGGAGCTCTTCCCTTTTTCTATCAGGAATCCCTGCTGTCATTGGCCATCCCAACTACGTGGCTTAGTGGAATAGTTTTAAAATATACTATAAGTGAAATGAAATGATGTAAATGAATGCTTACTTAATGAATAAGTGAAATGAAATGATGTAAATGAAATGATTCTTAAAAAGCCTGGAATGATGATTGAACACCTGGTGAAGGGTATGGATTGCCTTGGAAGCACAGGTGCAAGCAATTTACCTGTGCTTCCCACCTGACCAGAAGGGGTGGGCCCAGGGTCTACCCCCTCCCTGGGCTCATTTAAGGGCCAGCCTCCAAAGGCAGAATTTTTTTTTTTTTGCATGAAGGTTGCACTCTCAGAAGGAGTGTTCTGTAACTGAAGATCCTATCACAAGTTAGGTGAGTTAACCTTTTTCTATATGTAATTATTGATTGCTAAACTGTCTTATGTAGCTTTTCTGTTTACCACCTAGAAAGACTACTGTTACTTCATTACTGATTTCTGCATTACAGTCATATGCTCTTTTACTGTACCTGAGCAGCAATACGTTTTCAGCTGTGAGGATGACAGATCTGTTGGCACCTTGTGTGAAAGTGTTAAGAAGATCCCAGGGGGAATAGAGACCTCTGGGTTACCCAGCAGGTTAAACAGAAGTAGCTGAGCAACCAATTAAATACAGTATTTCTGTTACTGGTAACAGAACACAGTCTTTGCGATGTCTCTAGAAGGCTTCTGGACCAGGTCTTAATAAGCTTACTTTGTCTGGACTCATTCTGGCCTGTCTGGGGTTCTGTTTTAACTTGTTTGCTAAAGCAACAACTGCTGAACAGCTGGGAGACGATTATTGTTAGTTGTTTAGCTTTAGATTTCATTATGTGCTTGTGTAGTAGTATAATAATTTTGATGCCCTTCTGTAAACGACAGGTATCAGTAACAAGCAGTGAACTGTCTATGATCCTGCAGTAATGATGTGGTGTATTGGAGTACAGGTGAAGGGTTATAGCAGAAGCCTTGAAAGTACAGGAAGTGGAAGATACAGAGACTCTAGAGTATACAGCTAGTGTGCAGGTTTTGATCATTAAAGTAATATAAGTTCCTTAAAACCTTTTTAAGGGTTAAAATAAATATCTAGCAGATGTAAAACACAGCATGTTTAGTACACGTGAAAAAGTCTTAAGTTACAGATCATGAAAGAAAGAGCAAGGTGTAGTGCTATTAACATAAAGTACCCTGCAAACAGACTCTGAAGGAAGGAGGAAAAACTCTGCCATCCATGTAAATGTTCTCCTCCTCGTGAGGAGGACTGGTGCATAACAGGGTAAAAGGTAGCAGGAGTGTGTGTTTAAGTCTGAATGTTGGGGTTTTAACTATAATTTTGAGCTTTTTCAGTGATTAAATTGATGTTTGATTAGAATCTTAAGGTTCTAATGAGATTAACAATACATAATTGACTTCATGTAAAATGTTTGCTTCTGTAGCCTACATAAGGTGTATGTGGTGTCATTTAATGGGAAATATAGAATTCAGAATGGTCTGTTCTGACTGGTAGAAATGGATTTAAAGGGACCCAGTGACAGAAGTCACATATTGGTAAGAGCATCTGTTAATTATCTTAAAATAAATCTCTGATTGAGAAATAGTTGAAGAAAATAAGAAACTGTGTGTCTTAAGAAGAAAGCACATGCTCTTTCCATGTGAAGTATTTTAACTGGTGGTAATCTGTTTTCTACATAAGAGTAGACTCCATTGTCACTATCTTTGTTACTATCGCCATTGTCATTTCTAATGTATCATGAGGAAGAAGGAATTTTTAAACTGATTATTTAACTTGATAGATGTGTTTGTAGTCTGAGGAATAAAAATGTTTGGTCTGTGAGCGGAGTTGATATTGGTATTACTGAGGTCAATGGCAGTCTGGGTGAGAGGGACAAGGAGGTGTCACGTGGCTTTGCGTAGCCATTGGAGTTATGAGTAAGAACAATAAGTGTCTTAAAACATTGTCAAATGCAGTGTCAGGTGGGGGCAGTTAAACAAGATCACCTCGGGATCCCTTTCAACCCAAACTATTTTACAGTTCTGTTAAGCATTTCAGGAGGAAATGAAGCTCCAACTAGTATTATATATTTCAACCTATTCACTGACCTATTCTATTATAATGTTAACTATACCTGGTACCTATCTTCAGCTAGTGCTATCTAGACAGAGGTAGAAAAATTACTAGTTTTATTGGTGAGGACACAGGAATGCTCAATAGTATTTCTAATCTTTGGTCTGGAGGAAACTGACTTGATATGTGTAGGTCATAATAATAAAGGATATCATATTTCCAGAATAACACTAGAAATATGTGGAAGGACCTGTGCTAAACTTAAGCATTTTTAAATCATCTAGCTAAGATAATTTGCATACAGGATTTTTAAAAGAGCAGATTTAATGTTTCTTCCTATTGGAAGCTGGAAACTTATGAATGAATGCCAGTATTTAGAAAAGGTTGAACAAGAGGGTCTACCATTTTTGTACTCTGATATTGATTAGGGCAAAATTGATGCAAGATTTTTGAAGTCTTAATGAGATTACTGCTGAAGTGTGTCAAATTATGAAAGGCTTTTTCAAGTTAACAGTTTGAAACAGTAAGTTTAGATATGTTAGAAAGCGTTCATATAGTTTTGTAAAAGATGTAATCTTACACAGGCTTAATTAATGAAGTAGTAGAGGCCTGATCCCAGGAGGCTGATTTAGTGCTCCTAAAGTAACTGTGTGCAGTCTCAGTACACCAGTAACGCAATTTGAGCAACTCAGGCACTGTCTGCAGAACCAGAGGCCATCTAGCAGGAGAAGCTAGACAGCAAGAGATATGAAAGGTGCATGTAACTTTTAATAAAGGAACCAGTCTCTGTATTTGTGAATTCAGCATTGTGAGATGAGTACTGGGTTGTAATTGTGTGTCCTATTGGCGTTTGGAATTTCTTGAAGGCTACAGTATTGCTCAACACATTACCCTGTGGGGGACATGCATCATACTGATGTAGATTTTTAAGAGCAATAATAAAAATTATACTCTTGACGTTGCTTCTGTTGGGGGATTTGCCACACAGAATTTTGTGTTGCACAAGATCTGAAAAGGGGAATCAGTGTTATATAGCTACTCAGATTCATGCTACTAAGCAGTCTCAGGACTGGATGCTTCTGTCTTGCTTTGCTGATCCTACTTCTCCCATCCACTGCAGCTGTAACACAGCAAGGGCAACACAGCAGCATAAGGTTATAAAGCATTCTGCCCTGCATACAGTACCTTGCAATAGCAAAACAAGTGGGGTGCTGACCCTTAGAAAATTATTTGGAAGTTCTTATTGTCACTGCAGTTGTCTTTTAACCTTGTTGAAGTCAAGCATTTTTGTCTTCTTTCTGAACTGCTTTCTGATCATTCTGACAAAGTAGATGCTCTTTGATATCCTGCTCAGTGGTGTGAATTTAGAAGTGTTTCTCTATTGTTTTCTTGCCAAGTTGCTTCATGCGAGGAGCTTTTCCTCCACAGTGTATGGGTTTGCTATTTTCTCTTTAAACTGATTGCTGTACGAGGCTGGCCATGTGCTTATTGTGCCCAGTTAATAAGAGACAAGACAAAAACTCTGGGGAAGAAAAAGCTCACAAGCCATTTCAGTAGAGCGCTAACAACCAGTGCTGAATTAGACATCAATGTGTTACATTTGATCCTCATTTTTGTTTTGTTTCCATGCCTTAGAATGTACAACAAAATTTTAGGCGTGAGTTTAAGGGGAATAACCATGCAGTGGTGTCAGAACTAGTGTTCCTGAGCTGGACAGTGGACCAACCCCACATAACTGGCTGAAAGAATATAGAAAGGTATGTCTATATTTCTTGCAACTGGATTAGCTGTTAAACTTTGCTATTGTATGTGAACAGATCAGAACGATTACTTACTGTCTTCTGACAAAGCTGAAATCCGATTCTGTCATAATTGGCTCTAGTTGTCAGGCTGAACATGCAATAAGCAGTGCCCTCTAATACAGCACTGCAAGTATCTTTTTCAGCATCAGAATTTGATTTAAGTCGTAGTTTACAGGGAGCCCCAAGATTGTCTTCCTGTCACTTCTGGAGCTTTCTTTTATCAGCTTGCATTCCTGGAGTTCACAATCTGATATCAAGCATCTTCCCATCTATACTGAACATCGGACTGGATATTTTTTGCTTCAGCAGAGAAAGTGAATGTCTGCTGTGAATAAATCCAGAGATTTGCTATTTTTTGCTGCTGCTACTTTTTTCTCCTGTTGGCATTATTACAGGCAGCCAACTATAGTGTCAATATTACTTCTATTGTCTACTGACTGTTGCTGAAAAGAAATTTGCCATCTCCTTCATGATCACATTGACAGTGGGAAGGGTGTCATCTTTTGTTTTGTCTGAGCTGCTGACTTTTCTAGCTGAAAGACCAGTGGCATCCTGTGATGACATTAGATGCTACTTGATACCAAATGCTGCTGTGCAATGCTCTAATTTACATTCATGGGAAACTGTTGAAGGCATGTAATTCCATGGCATTTCCATGGTCATTGTATTCTAGTATGGCAATCATTTAAGTCTCAGTTTCAGTCCTTCTGAGAGGCATGGTGTGGCATTTAACTGCATGAAATACACTTACCAGGCAGTTTTGATTGCACTGTATTGGTAACGTAATTATTTAAACCTCTGCCAATTTTTCTAGCAATTATTTTCCATGCTAATTAGATTATTGGTTGAAGTAATAAACATAATTAATCCAAGAAGAGATCTGTGAGATGCTCAAGAATCCTTTCAGTGACAGAAGAAACAAATTTACCTGGTTTTCTAGAGCTCTTAAATCAGTTAATATATCAATATTCTAGATACATTCCCATATGTATTTAAAGTAGGGGATTAGGTCAGTCACATTACAGAAAAGTAATTTTAATAAGCCATAGACAGCAAATACTATTCAGTGGAAGACAAACCTTGGGGCTAGGCAGGTATTTATAATAGAACAAAGAAGCCTTTGAGATTAAGGAAACTGGTCCTGCTCATTAAACAGGGACTGAGACAGAGCCTTTGAATTTTAACTTACCTTCACAGGAAGTGACAAAATTATCTTTCTGATTAAAGTGACTGTGTTATTGAAAAGAGTTTCAAGACTGTTGCCTAGATTGAAGATAAGTTAAATTGTTTTCCTCTGTTAATTCTACTTGCGCAAGATTACCGTGTTACTTTGAGCAGAGAGGGACAACCCCTCCCTTTGCCTGGCTGGCAATGCTGGACCTGATGCACTTCATGGTATGTTGGTTCTTTTGTGTGCCTGCTGTTCCCCTTAATTTAGTGTTGTCTGTAAACTTCCATAAGTATGCGTTTTAATCCTGAGTACAGATTATTTGTAGAAACATTAAGGAGAACTGACTATCAAATGTGACCTTGCAGCACTTCACTACCATCAGCCTAATGTAAAACCACTTACTGTAAATCCTTGAGCCTGACCCATCAACCATTGCTCACCCATAGCATTCTTTTTTTCCACAGTATCTTGGTCATTTAATCCAAAAGGATGCTATGAGAAACTGCACTGAAAGCACTGCTGAAATACAAAGGTTACATCTATTGAATTCTATTGGCGGCCTTAGTAGCCTCACCTGCTCCTTTCTTTTCAACAAACAGGCATATAGCAGCATTCCTAATGAACATAGCAGCTGTAGTCCTGCTGTCAGGACTTGATTTTTCCAATGCAGGGAAACAAGAGCATGGAGACAGAAGGAAATTGATCAAACCAATATTTGTATGTACTGTCTGTTTTTTCACCTTGTTTTGATTGTAAAGTTCAGCTCAAATAACTACAAAATTGTCCCAATGTTACTCAGATTCTGTGCATGACTGTAAGTGTCCATTGCCACTCATGATATTTACTCTTTAAAAAACAGAAATACATAACAGTTAAACAAAAATACAGAATGCATAAATACACTTGAAGTCCTTCCCTTTAATGCTGCTGGACAATTCAAGTTTTTGGCTTATGTTTAAGCATACAAGTAGCTTTTTCTATCTATGGAATAAGTTTTTGTCACCTAGCCTCACTTTGAAAAAGTTCTTTGCATTTCCTATGGAAGAATAAAAGTAATTTCCATATATTCAGCTCTACTTGAACTCCAAAAAATAGTTAGCACACAATGTGTGATCTCTTTGAAATCTCCTAAAAAATCTGCGACTAGTTTTACTGTTTTAAAAAAAAAAAAAAAAGACAAACAAAACTAGGGAATCAAAAGCAAAGGAATATTAATCAGTAAAAATAAAACTAAGTTCAAACTTTGAATTAGTTCCATTGACTTTTTTCTAATCTAAATGTAGAGAGATGTGAATGCTTTTTTCCCCAGTTATGTATTTTGGTGTGTAGATTGAACAGTTAAAACAAAAAAGAAACTTAATTTTTTTCTTTTCTAAAATTTTATCTCTATGTCATTATTTTATTGCTGATAAACTTTACAATTCATAAATAAGCACATTACTTTTTCAAAGTGTTTTCCTAGAACAGTTTAGATACCTGTGTAAAGCAATCGTGTGGTAAGAAATTTAAAGGCAACATTTTTTATGAAAAGATGGGATTTCTGTATTCTTAATCAGTAATGATCAACTGTTCTTGATTTGAGCACTGATAATACAATAAAACAACTTTTTGTTATTTATTATTATTCTTGTTGATTGATTTACTTTAATTTTTCTTAGCTCCTCTGGTGACCTTTTCTGAGTTTTTGTGTGCTTTTAATTCCCTTAAACTTAATTCACTTTTGTTGTGGTCTGTGCCATTGAGTAGATTGTTGGGTTTTTATTGTCTACAGACTTTTCTCTTTGTGCTGTGATTATTTTGCATCTTCTAGGCTAAAATCTGTTGATAGTTCCAATGTTTTCCATTTTTTAAATTTTTCTCCCTTTTTTGTCTGATTTTTTCCATAATGAGAATGATTTGGTACCAGTATGACACTCAAGGAACTATTCTATATTTACATTTTTCTTTGTACAAGAGGTATGTACTGCTTTTTCTTTTCTCTCCCCTTTTCTGTGTATCTGCATACAAATGAGGGAAGCAATATCAAATGAACTCAGTATGTAATGTACTGGTTACTGTATTTCTTTGTATTTGACCATTCTCTTGATTATTTTACGCTTTCTAGTAAATTTGTCATTATCACTGAACAATGCGAGTACCTTCCATAGCTTCTGTATTTCTTTGGGACCCAATTTTATTTTTTGTTCATATGGCACTGGAACCATATATTGCAACACAAACTTTTTTTCTATTCAGCTTGCATGTTTCACACAAGTCACCACCACTTCAACGATCATTGCATTTAAGCTCAATTTCTATGAAAGTAGCATATGCTAAGTAGTTCTTTCTTTTACTGTCAGTCTTATTGCCAAACACTCTAGTTACATCTGGAGAGGCTGCAAGCACTTCATACTAATCTGCTCTGCAAACAGATAGCATCTGCCTTGCATCATTCTGACTCTTTCAGTGGGGAGCAGAAACTGATGCACTCCACTGTGATATGGAAAGATGCTGTGTATAACTTCATTAGAAGCAGCTTCAAGTATTCAAATATAAAACACATTGGAAAAGGCAAAGCACAGGTATAAAAACTAAGAAAAAACACACAATTTTTATCCTATTTTTATCTTATATGACAAGATACCTCAAGTGAGAAACTTAAATGAATATCATATTCTACCCATTCTTGCTGTGTTCTTGACTTTATTTCTTGTGTACTAAGTTAGTCTTTCCTATCTGGAAATTATATTAAATACATACATCCTGTATGATATTGAAATGAGCTTCTATGAAATAATGTTCACTTAAGCATCTGTTTTTGTGTAATTAGGGTTATTAAGCATCCTAAATTAGTATATTACTGTGGTGAAAATCTACTCACAAATATATATCATGAGTAATCTCCTTTAAGTTTTTATTGTGGAGGGAAAAAACTTAAAGAAGACTCTTCTGGAGAGTGAGAAAGTGGTGTCTGATTTATTTTCTCAGCTGGAAAGAATGTAGTATGGAAATTAATTGTATTACATTAAGTTACCTTAGATTTGAATCTGTTTTACTACAAGAAACAAGGACAAAGGAAAGATAAAGACTTAGTAGCAGTTGTCAAAAACTATCTACTCCTGTTGAAAATAACTACTTTGTTTTTAAGTTTGTGATCAATATTATGCCGTATATCATGTAGTAGAGAAGTATTTTCTCACAACAACCTTTTTTCCACTGATGTTATCTCTTAGTTATATCACAATAAGAAAGAAGGTGGATTTACAAGCACCTTTAAAGTGATGGAGTTCTTTTTCTTGAAAGTTTTATTCTAGATAAGTGAAAATTACTATTTTGTTTCAGGAATAATTGTGTCAAAGACAGAAGAATTTGTAGCAATCTGTCCCCATCCTTTGTCTCTGAATCAATAAAAACATGACACTAGAATCTGTGTAATAAACTGTTATAGCAAGGGACGCAGCCATAGGAAGAGAGAATTGATTCTGAGATTCCTGGCACTGTATCTTGAACTAAACATATTTGTGTGGAGCTTAATCATGCTTTTGATTTCCATGTTTCACTGTAGCATTCAGAAATACCATAGTTCTATATCTGTGCACATAGCAGTACATTTGGTAGTACTTAAATAGCCTGTGTAACTCTGAAATGTCCAAAATGACTTGGAAACATGCTAATGACTACTGTCACTTACAGCAAAGCCTAAGCAGGTCTAATGAAATTGTTTATCATCTCAGATTTTACATATTTTTGTTTTAATATGGAAGCTATAGTATTGGGTTTTTTTTGATGATTGGATGTTTTTTCTAACTCTCTACTCTTGAAGATCTCTAAAATGTTTTAGAGATGGCACACAGCCCTCGATCAGTGAACTAACAGTCATTTGTGCAATAACATGTGCTTTAACCGTGGATCTACCACTTCTCACAGTAGAAGAGCTACAGTTCTCAAAGCAATAGAAAACCCAATTGAAAATTAATGAAGCTCCTATTGTATAGCAGCTGATTTCCAGATATCCACTTGATCCAGAGAGTTGGTAGCATCTGTTTGTCAAGTAATTGACTTCTGAAAAGTTTTCCAGACTATGCAAACAGAAGATAACGCCTGACTACATTGTGCTCCTTTGTGTGAGCATTGTCATTGAATGTCTTTATATACCTCTGAGCAGTTGGCTGTGATCTTGTTTGGGAGAGGGTTGGGAGGGGAAAAAGGTTTTTGGTTTTTTTTTTTGTTTTTTTTTTTTAATCCCAACCAACTCAGGGAAATAAGAGGCATATGTAGAGAATACTTTGTTGCTTAGCTGCAGGAAGCTGCCTCATACACAGTGCAGCTGCTGTCCCTGGTTGCTGTGGCAGTGTCAGTGCAAGATGCTGATCTAAATTATTCTGAGATATATTGAGCAATATTAGCTGTTCTTAATGCTTGAGCAGGCTGAGACAAAATATTCGTGGAAAAGACATCCATCCCCCTTCACTAGTAGATTGTTCTCCAAGTAGACCCGAACATTCAAATAAGTGCCAAAATAAGTTTTCTTTAATGGTCTCTGAGCTTCCCTGGAGTGGGAAGAAAAAGATTTATTTTTTTTTTTTTGTGAGTGAGAAAACAATGTAATATGGAGAATGTCTTCCTGATTATCCAATGGTCGAAGACAGTGGCAAAGGAAATGACTTCAGCAGTCAAACTACACCAAGTATGAATCACTGAAGTTAAAGTGCACAATGCAGTATATACAGCAAACTTTCTGACTGTGAAAATCGGTGGGCTGGATTTAAGTCCAGTGTTTTTGCTTCGAGGAAGCTGGAATGAGTCAGAAAAGACTCTTCCAAAAAAGAAAAGTTAATGCAGGTTATCGCTGATTACAGGGTATTTCACACCCTGTAGCTATTACATTTTCATCCTTGTTTGTTTAAGGTGATCTTTTGTGTTTGTACTGAGAGATTAGCAGGTTAACAGAAATGTTAATGTGAGCTCTAGCAGAGCCCAGAGAAAAAGGTGGAAGCTGAGTGTCTGAATATTAGAAACCTATTATCTTGAATTTACAGATATTGAAGGAAGCATCCTTTGTAGCTTGCAAAGAGCTTTGAGTAGGCAAGGAGTACTCAGAAAACCAGCATCAACGGAAAGGCTGCTGGGCAGCTAGCCATTTCATCTGCTGTTTCCATCCACCTGCCAAGCTCCTCTCTTCTTCCTGTGCAGAGAAAATGTGTGGAAGTGTTCTACTGACATAAATCAGTAATAGCCCTGTACAACCTTTCCTTTTTTTTTTTAATTCCTCCTCTTTTTTTTTTTTTTAAATCTGAGGATAAAAGGCCCAAAATGAGCCAGTCCTAAAATATCATTTGTAGTTGGCAGCTGCAGTGAGCTCTGTGGGGAAGTGCAGAATGGACCTGGACTGTAGGAACAACGGAATAGTGGGCTACACACTCGACAGATGTGGTTCATGTGTATGCTGTCTTCTCTTTGAATAGATCCCATGAGGGAAGATTTGTTCTAACACTCTGCAAAATTGCATTTTATTTGTCTGTAGTTAATTCAGGGAGCAGTGACCATTGACGCCTCAGCTGTGATTTATAGAAGCTTTTTAGTATTTTGATGCTATGAACAGAATGTGAACTAATTGATGTAACTTCTCAAAATAAAACAAAAACCAGTTACAGACTTCAGGGAATGATTTTCATGAGAAAGTAGAATCATGGTGCTGCTATGACTTAAGTTCCTGGCTTCACCAAAGTTGCCTTTGAATTTTCAGGAAAGTAGTCATATATAATTCTAGTTTGCCTTTCTTTAGCTGATGAACAGCAAATTTTCAAAAAGAAGAATGTTGTATCCCTTGTATGGTATACTTTTAAGCGAAACAGGAGCTGCTGCTTTTCCCTTGGTTACTTCCTTCCAAAGGATCCATCTGGAAAGAAGTGTCAGACAGCACTGATCAATTTCAATGTTTTGAAAGTATTTTCCAGGAAAAAGGATGCAGTATGGGGAGCTTTTCAGAGTGCAAGCTGTACATTGTTTCTAGATTCGAGTATTATTTTTTTTTTTAGAACCAAAGGGGAACACTGGAGGTTGCTCCTTTTGTTTAGTATCTATAAACTAATAATTGAATCATAGACTCAGCAGTTATCTCTCCTTTATCTTCTTTTCTTTTGTATATCCACCCAGATTAAGTCATTTGTTTGTTGCAGGTGTATTTTCTAGTTGTCTGAGCATTGTTCTTCATAACAGAGTATTTCAAGTGAGACCCCTCCCAAAAGCTGGGAAGGATGGAAAGTGTACATCACATGTCCTGCAGTATATGGTTATGTTTATGTGACTCTCAGTGGGATTTTTCTCCAGACCAGATGTCCCATCCACTAATCCAGAAGTGACACCTCTCAAATGGTGCTGACAATCTTCATCATGCAAATTTACATTTGTCATATTCATTATATTACTGATTTGATAGAATATCCTTCACATCCCATGCTCACTTGGGCTGGGAATAGATTGCAGCTTCTGCACTGGTGTCCAAAGAGGATCAATATTCACAAAGCAGTATGAGAAAATGTCTTAGCGTGCCTTCCTTTTGCTACATATTGTCTATAAACACTGCTCTCTTTCTTCATTTCTTCACTGGGTACAAGTTTCCTACAAGTCTTTCACAGAAAG